CCCCCCCCCCCCCCCCCCCCACTAAACAAATAAAGGTAGGTCCACAGACCAGCAGTTGTCACAACCATGATCCAGAAGAGCCCTAACAGCCCCGAATCCTGACATTTTCACCAGAAAACCCAACCTATCCCAGAGCCCTGACATCAGGAAAACACCCTAACAAAGAGTCATCAGCACCCTAAACCTATACCCTACACCCTAAACCCAAAACCCCTAAACCCTAAAACCCCATACCCTAAGGCCCTAAGTAACAAACACGCCTCCTGGCTCGCTCCAGTGCGGCTGCCTTGCGAGCCTTCTCCTCCTCGAAAGCCTGAGACGAAGACGGCGCGTAGGGCGAACAAGTAATCTACTATAATTACATGAGATTGTTATAGTCTATCATACCAAATTATAGACTATAATATAATTATGATAGACTATAATAATAATCTCATGTAATATGCTAGAACAGGATTGTTTAGACCACACTTGCACAGGATTGCGCTTAACAGATGGTAGCAAGAAGCAGGGACATATAATACATGCTTGCATTCGCGCACATGTGCCCGCAGCACCGGCTCTATTGTCAGACCTGATCATTCTGGGAGGGTCGTTCTTGCTGATTGGCGGCAAGCGGGCCCCAATCAACGGGAACACGCTCGGAAGCAGCACGGCTACTCTAGCGAAGAACTCAGCTTGAAGATCTCCCAACACATGCCGAACGCCTGTCTGGCCCGGTCCATACCCACATCGCTCTTGGCGCCCGTGTCCTGGTCATGTAGGCAGCAACATTCAACGGTTTCTTCTGAGTGCACCATGCATCAAAGCACAAAGACCAAAGAGCGTCCTGCGGCGCCTCCACTCCGTTCGGATGGCTGCTCTCGGCGGCCCTTGCCCTGCGCGGTCGGAGCTCCATTTGTGTAGGCAAGTTCGGGTCGGAATCGTAGGGCATTTGCGGTGGCTCTGATCTCCGAAACTGACGGCAAGTCAGTCAGGCTTCCTGCCTCCGGGCCCGTTCCAAAGCTGCTGCTTTACGGGCTTTCTCCTCCTCGAAGGCCTTCGTCCGACGTTTGGCAGCAAGAACGCACTCGGTGCATTTGTGCTTTCCACCGAAGGAATGGTTGCAGATGTGCTAACAGGTTGTGGTACAGGCTGTGCCGGAAAGAGCTGGATCTTCCTTTGGGAGTGACTCGGAGTGACTAGCTGAGATGGGATGCCTTTCCGCGGGTGTTCGTCACTGCAACACGCGGCGCTGCTGATAGTCCTACTTTGATACTTGTACAAGCCGCAAGTCCATTGGAATGCGGTGTTGCGCATTTCTAGAGGCTTCCAATTTCTTGCCAATCCAACTTTTCAGCTTTCCAACCCCAGCTTGGGCTCCATTCTGCTTCACTGTCGCCTATGACTGCGTTGCCTCCTGTGGCGACTGGCGCTGCTGCAATTCGTACCGTGAGTACTTGGTGATGTTGCTACGACCATTGCTGCGTGCAGTTCCGTTACTACCACACTTCCTACCAGCATTCTTGATGCTCACACTCGGGCATGTCCAAACAGCATTGTGGTTGCTCTTTTTAATATGGTTGTGCTGATATGGTCTTGCTACTACGACACAAGGATACTGTCGCCCACCTGCTTCGCTCTGTCCACACCGGTGTCTTGGTTGGATTCATCCTGGCATGCGTGACAGTGCTGTGAAAAGGAAACCTCGAATAGTAGCGGCAGGGCCGCGAGGGTTATAACATTGGAAATGAAACGGCATACATACATTCACACATTCATACATACATACATACCTACATACATACATACATACATACATACATACATACACACATACATTACACACATACATACACACATACATACACACATACGTGCATACATACATCCATCCATCCATGCATGCATGCATGCATGCATACATACATGCACACTTTCATAGATACATAGATAGATAAATACATACATACATACGTACATTTTTAGCACTCGCACTCCACGTACATACATACATGCATACATGCATACATACATACATACATACATACGCACGCACACACATACATACACACATACGTACATACATACGTACATACATACATACACACATACATACACATACTGCATATCATACATTATATATATGTGTGTGTGTGCAGAAGCATGCCGAAGTTATATATATATATACACATACATATAAGTGTATGCATGTGTAGGCGTATATGTATACATGTGCATGTTAGTCTGTGCATGTGAGCGCAGTTCTGAGTACATGCATCTGTATATGTATGTGCACGGCTAAAGATATGTCAATGCATATGTACCATAGAATATGTACCATATGTATGCACATGCATGCGTGCATGCATGCACGGTCATGTTCATGTGGTAAAAGGGACGACAACAGCCACCACATGAAGGAAACCCACACTGAGAGTCATGCTGGCAGCAATAAACGCAGTAGCAACAAAAAACAAAGCCATGAACAAGAATCAACACCAAAAACAATGCCAGCAAAGAAGCATCTGTGCTTTTCGCAACCGACACCGCTCTGGCAATTGAAACCAAGTGGAGAACCAAACCACTAAGCCTTAATGGGAAGCCTCGTGCTACAGCTAACGCTCGAACTACTCCTACCGAGTATCCCACTGCTAGAATTCGGACCTGCGCCGCACCAGTACCAGTACCACACGTCACTACCACGACCACGACGACCACTGCTGCTGCTGCTACTACTACTTCTCCCTCTTCTTCTCCTTCTTCTGCTACTACGACTAATTGCCACCACCACCACCACCGCAGCAGCAGCAGCAGCAGCGAGGACGATGACTAGTACTGCAGCTGCTGCAGCAGCAGCAGCAACACCCCAACCCCGACCCCGACCCCACCACCACCACCGCCGCCGCCACCACCACCACCACCAACAACAACAACAACACCAACACGAACAGCAACAGCAACAGCAACAGCAACAGCAGCAGCAGCAGCAGCAGCAGCAGCAGCGACTACTGCCACTACTAGGACCACGACAACCACGACGATGACATGCAGTTCTTGCGGCTGAATCTGCCTGATTCTGTGCCGCAGCCATCGCTGCCCGAGCTTTGTCCAGCGCTGCTGCCTTCTCTGATGCCAGATCATGCCACAGCCAAAGTTTGAGTGTCTTCAGTCTTCAGATCTTCATGTTGACCATGCTCCGTTCAAGACACAGGCCTTGCGAGCTTTCTCTTCGGCGAAAGCCTTCCGAGCCTTGCAGAAAAGTCGCTTGCATGGTGTGTACGTGGGCTCCTCCCACAACTCGCTTGCCTTCTCGATGCTAGAGTCCGGCGGAGCCTCCTCTTCCTTTGACTGGCCTGAGCCCAAAGTGACTTGCAAGAACGACGCTGCGAACAGGTTCGCCAAGAGAGCCGTGAACGAATGCTTCGCACAGGTGAAAGCACGTCAGATCGCCCGAGCAAGCTAGTCCGCTAGTCCCCACAAAGCATCCACTTGGACTGCCTGCGACCATTCAATAAAACCGCTCCCAACCTTGCACCGATCTCAAATTCGTGTTATGTCCTTGAGACACCATTTTACAATTCATACAGTTCAGTACACTATGATGCCATGCAATGCAACAGAACACAATACAATATAGCGAGACCCTAAGTTCTGGAAGATCTGGGATCAGGGCTTTCGGAAGAATCCACAGGGCCTTCGCCCCGAGCCTCCGCACGGGCCGCCCGGGCCTCATTGGGCCGCAGGGCTGTTTCGTTCGGTCCCCCTTTAAGGGTTCCTATAAGGGCTCCCTTTAGGGTTTAGGGTTTAGATATTACTACCTGTACAGGTGCACTGTGTGCATATGTCTACGTCTAGGCCATGCTGTGCTCAGGTTGTCACGCCTCGTATTTTCTTGCCATGTATGCCCCGTGTACGCAACGTGCACCTGCAGGTACAAGCGAGCTCGGGGTACTCTCTCCTCGGTGCAACAACACTGATCGTGTTTCTGCTTGTCGACATATTTGCAGAAGGCTCAGTGAACTCACCGGTGAGCACTCGAACGGTAAAGCAGGCGCAACAACGACAGTGACTATAGCCACCGTTGCCCGCCATTGCCGTCATCAGCACCGTCGTCATCAGCATGGCAATGATCAATTCCCCCGGCCGCCATCCGATCACCACGTCATCTTCACCCTCACACAAAGATGAGACACTTGGGGTCTGGTACGGGTGGAAGTTTGGGGTGTCTAGGTTTTGGCTGTCTGGATGTCTGGGATCACAAATGGCGACATGTGATCATGAGACCGCCCACGGCTCACGGCTGCCTCAGAAGCAACTGCAAGAAGAAGAAGAAGCTTCTAATGAAACATCGCATAACTAGAACAGGAGCCGTAAAACTGTCAAGTTAAGAAGCTTAACAATACCAAGACAACCCAAACGAGATTCCTATAGGACTCCGCACACCATCCCTGCCTATGAAATGGTTCACGTAGAAATCAAAGAAAAACACAAACAGCACACTGTTCGCCACATCAACTTACAAAGAATGACACATGTGCAACTAGTGACTGAAGAAACAACTCAACACATAAAGAGGTAAATGAGCAAGTTCCTGGCTACAAACAAGACAACTCAAACAACAACATGTATCTAAGCATATATATATATGTGCATATACCGTATGTGTGTATGTCTAATGCTTCTGCCCGTCTGCCGGCCTGCCTGCCTGTCTCTTATTATAACGCCATTTAGTACAGGTAAAGATGTGTATGTGTGTACGTACATACGCATGTCCGTAAGTATACCTGCCGTCTCATACCGAAAAACAGTCACGAAACGATGATGAGATCCTCATAGAATAGATGGTGCCAAGACTTCGTCGTTGCACATCTTGTCGGGTCTTGTTACCCCTCTCCTCCTGCATCCCACAAGCTGCAACCGCAACTAGCCGAGCGGCCCGTTCCAGCGCCGCCGCTTTCCTGGCCTTCTCTTGCTCGAAAGCCTTCGCACAAAGTCGAAGACAGCGGGCTTGGAGTTTAGGACTCGGGACTTTCAGGGATGCTGAGGGCTACCTGCCACTTGCGGCTTTTGAGACGAGGTGCCAAAGGAGAGTGAGAACTACTGTGGCGACCGTGACTGCTTCGGCGAACTCTCCCGATTTCTCTGTGCACGCCTGCTTGGCACGATCCATCCCTGCATCGGCTTCGCGTGTGTCCTTCACAAAGTCCAAACAATTCACGGTGCAGTACGTGCCTGTAATGCAGCATTAGACAACATCATGTGCGACTGTCCTCGCTGCATGAGATGTGTCCAACTAACTACGAACAAAAGCGCGAGAGAACTCGCATTATGACGAACACAGAACTCGAGTTTGTGTTGCGTGCCGTGATAAACAAAGCGACCATGACTGTCGAAACTTCCGTTGCTGCAGCAGGTGCCAGTTCCGAGCCAATTGAACCCTCTCCCCAGCCGCGCCTGGGCTGGGGCTGCCTGGTTCTCGGCGGAGGCCCTGTGCCGACTTCAAATTTGTGGGAAAGTCGGGCCAAGGGGTTCAGTGCTTAGCGACCCTTGCATGGGAAGATATTGAATGCTTTCTTTTCCTGAAGTCAACTGATGCCAGACACACGAGCCTTGAACCTTGAAGTGCAA